ATCAAGTAAGCACTTTTATCTTCATTTGTCAGATGAATAAACTGAACTTTAAATAGGCTACATCATATTCCAAGATTAAATAGTGTGGCATACATAGACTGGTTTAGAACCAGGTCTTTTCACTTCAGAAAAACATCTGTAATTACTATTGGATTTCACTTATTCCTTTCCAGAACACAGGAAAAACTCCTATGCTTGGAGAAATTAGAAATTTCCATGCCCATGAAATACAGACTTAACCTAGGCCAAGTATCTCACATGAGGTCACAAATGAGACCTGGGAAGCAAGTGGCAATGGTTCATCACATTGTATCACTACCATAGGAAAGATTAAAGTAGACACTGCTGCTGATTTTTTGCTACATGACCACTTAGCAACCATATAAAATCAAATAGCATCAGTTACCTCAACTCTCTGATTCCATAGTGTTTTCTAGTATTCCTATAAAATATATTTAAACATTTAAAATAAAGATTTTACACATTAGAAAGGGGCTTTTTCAAACAAAATATAATGAAGTGCTAAATTTCATGTTTCAGATATTAAGTGCTACCAGAATTTGAAAGGGAGACATTTGCACAGCCTGGTGAGGAAAATGAAAGCACCGAATCCCCCTATCTTTTTTAAGAGATCACATGAAAAAGATTCCCTAAGTCTCCCCAAATACATTTTTCTTACATATCCCAACTCTTTGCTGCCCCACATAGTCTTCAATGTTAAAAGACCAATTCATTAATAGATATTGATAAAAGCAACTCACACACACACACACACACACACACACACACACACACAGGCAAACTTCTGAACATGGAGCCTTCTAGGATTTCTTGCCTCTAGCAGATGCTTTGCGTTCTCTCATCACCTACACAATGGAGAAACAAAAGTAGGATCCATGTTTTTAGTAATGCAAGTAATAAACTAACCTGCTGGACTTTTTCATACTTGCAAGTGGTCTACAGCCCATTCTGGCAATAAGTATGAGTCAACAGTGACCATTAAACACTACTTATCAAGGGCCCTCGACAGGACCAGCTGTCTTGTTCTAGACTTCTGGAATCAAAAAGGTTAGAGTGTGAAGGCCTTTAGAGGTCACTTAATCTGTTTCAGAAAGTGTTTCCCACTCCGTCTTACTGTTTAAACATTTGTGGTGATAGAAAACTCCTTAACTCACAAGGCAGCCAGTTCCATAGTGGGTATGTGTTGACGGGGGATGGGAGTAGTATAGGCTGAAAAAAGCTAGTCTAATGCTGCCGCTTCATCATACACTATAGGAAACAACATTCATATTTTTTTCTCTTCTCCTGGCTCAGCACCAGTTCAAACTTTGCTGCCTCCTCAAGGTATGTGATTTCCAGACTATTAACAAATCCTTGTCACCCACTTTATAATATGTTCACTCGTCAAATTTATTTATTTAACTGGCTTAAAAAACATTAGCATCTCCTATTAAAAAAAAAATACAGCATCCATAAAGTAAATTCTCCAAATTCGACCACAGTCGAATTTTTCATTCAATTCAGATATTGACTATGTATATGTCTTTCTTAACAAAAATAAATCAGTAAGCCGAGTGCAGTGGCTCACACCTGTAATCCCAACACTTTGGGAGGCTAAGGCAGGAGGATCACTTGAATCCAGGAGTTCAAGACCAGCCTCAGGAACACAGTGAGACCCCGCCTCCATAAATAATTTTAAAAATTAGCTGGGTATGGTGGCACACACATGTAGTCCTATTTACTTGGGAGGCTGAGGTGGGAGGATCGCTTGAGCCCAGGAGGTCAAGGCTGTAGTGAGCTGTGATCATGCCACTGCACTCCAGCCTAGGTGACAAAGCATGGCCTTGTCTCTAAAATAGTAGTAAATAGGTTCCCATCTGTGAGGAATCATTAAAAGAATGACATATTATTAGCCATTTCTCATCTTGTCTTCTCTCACCCGAAGCAAAAAATATTTTTATATAAATGTGGTTTTCGGTGATGTCATCAAATCTATCACAGTAACACCAACTGCTTAAGTATTAATACTGTATCACAAAATACTACGTAGCCATTAAAAAAACAATAGTACATTGATAGGGAATGATCTCTAAGAGATAAAAGTGAAAACAGCAAGGTACAGAAGAGTATTATAGAACGTTATCATTTCTGTGTTTCAGGGGTGTGTATGTGTGTATGTGTGGGGGGTATGTCTGCAAGCACGTAATGGCTATGAAAGAATATGTAAGAAAACTGATAACCATGGTTATTTCACAGGAGGGAAACTGGCAGGGACAAGAATTGAAGAAACACATTTGTATTGTGGTTTGGTACTCTCTACACCTTACAGAATACTATGGGAAAAAAAAAAAAGGAAAGGAAGGGAAGGGAGGGGAGGGGAGGAGGGAGGCGAGGAGAAGGGGGAAGTGGAGAGGGAGGGGGACGGGTGAAAGGAAGGAAGGAGGGGAGGAGGGGAGGAAGGAAAGAAGGAAGGGAGGGAGGGAGGGAGGGAGGGAGAGAGGGAGGGAAGAAGGAAGGAGAGAGAGAGAGAGATGGAAATCATTTTGGGTGCTGGAGAGGGGACAGTGGAGTCTATGTAAGAGGAGCCTCGGCTTCCAAGAGCTGAGTGAAAAAGCCAGCTCCCTCTCTCTCATTTTTTCCTAAGCAGGCCTTTCTGTACTAAATTGCTGTTTAGTAACAACTAGGTGGGGAACCCACTGTATCTCATGAGATCATCGCACTCTAGGAATGTCTCTGCAATTATGGCTTAATTTTATTAAATCCTAATTGCTCTCGAATATAAATTTGGATATTCCTTTTCACAAAATATACAGCTACATAGATCCTACTATTCTCATTATAGCAATATCAAGCAAAAAACACTATTCCAGTGTAAAATGACACTATCAAAAGTCACACTATTGGCTTTCTTTTAATTTAACACTGCACACCAACTGCCAAAATCGAAGACATCTGACAATGAAAATACGTGCTACTTTGCTAATAAATAAGTCAAAAGTTTCAGTTTTACGGGAAAAAAAGGAGGAAATAAAGACATGTAATACTAAATTTAATTAGACATTTAATAAGTATAGTATCCGTAGTTAACAAGGCAAAACGATCCTTTCAGTTCTAGCTGCAGTTTATTTAAAGACTTTACAATTTTACTACTTAAGAGCAAGTCCTATGGAGGTGTTATCTCACCATTTATATTTTCACAACACTTATGATATTGCTATCACACTCTTAAAATAAATGAAAGCCCATGTCACATTTCAGACCAACATAATGTTACAGACTATTTTTATTTCTGAAGATAAACATTAAAATACTTCTGAATTGCTCACTTTCTTCTTGCAATGTTGAACATAAAAAAAAGTAAAAGACTAAGAGTTTTTTTAAAAGTCCCAGGTATACTTGAAAAGCAGAGGTTTAATCACTTGGTTTTAAAACTAGTAACTAGAAAATATAGCATTATAAAATTGTGACAACAATAGCATCTTATGACAAAATTATTATGCTTTTAATTTTCTATTAAATTGTGATGTATTAGCTTGCTACTTTAAAGATTAGTCTGTGTATAGAATGAATTTAGTGGTGCATTTAATGAGACAAGAAGGTAGAAGGCTGAACATGAAAAGATTATTTTACATTGTAGTGCATGAGTTATTTGATAATTCTAACACAGTACAAAAGCAAGCTTCTCTCTAGATGGATCATGGTTCAGTTAACATCACTGAATATCTAATACCTCCAACTCAATTAATTCTCACCTGATTAAGATCAGGCTGATATTCAAACTAAATCATCTCTCCAGTCAAGTAGAAATCAATATTTCTGATTTTACTTTTAAATTACAATAGAAAATAAAATGCATGCATCTTCAATATGCCACGAGTAGATTTTCTATTCTAGTCTACCATAGCATGGATAACACAGTTGATTAAAGAATTATTCTAATTTGAGCACCAATATGTAGCAGAATCTGATTAATTTGAACACAGAGATGGAGTAAACTAATTAAATATATCTTACACAGGGCAAATAGAAAATTGACATAAAATAAACTTGACTTGTTTAAAACAAACCTCACTGTTTATCAGCTCAAGTAGTTAGGAATACAGTTTTATTAAAGACTGATTATGCTCAGAGAAGAGGCTTGTTTCAGGCACAGATATTTGTAAGGTAGGTAAAGAAACAGCTCTTTTTGCATCACACTCTTTCCACCACCACTGCCTCCAAAATCATGCATGTGCTTAAAAACAACCAAATTATTTCTATAGACTTTCCCAGAAAAAAAACAGAATATACTGACCCATCTTTGTTGAGCAGGGAAATTAGTGAATCCAAGAATAAAATACTTACATATTTGCAACTGTTACTACTAAACAGAACATGAAATAGATGTTCCTCCTCTTTTATTTCTTAATTATCTTCAAATTTAAGATAGAGAAGAAGAGTAAATTATTTGTTGGATTAATTGAATAGAAATGATTTTTGGCTTGTTAGCAAACTCAAAAATTCAGATGAAAACGTTCAAATTTTAAAAAATGTATTTAAGAGAGCAGAACCACAGATAAATGTACACTTTATTAGAGTTAAAAATAATTTAGAGAATACTTAGTATGTACTAACATTGCATACTATACATCTTTATTATATATGTAATATGTATACTTTATATATAAAAATACATTTTATATAGAATATTACATATAAAATATAATTTACTATTTCTAAACCTCACAAACTAGGTTATTAACCATGTACTAAATATTCATGGGTGTTACTTACTTCAGATGTGCTTTTCCTAGTGTCTTAGATATATATCCCTTCACAGAAAAAGTATGAGGAGCCAAGAATTAAGCAAAGTAATCTAGAAGCATAGATTTCCAAAATTCATATCCAATGAGTCATACAAGTTACCTATAGATTATAATTAAGGACATAAAAATCAAAACCTGACAGATCGGATACTCTCCAAGACTGTAGACTCAGGCTGGGCTACCTATGCAACTTGGAAGTTGACCCATTTGCATGTTAAACACAAAAGAATATTCTTTACCTTCACAAAAGGCTCCATCCTGTTTTTCTTGAACCAGAACAACAGCTCAGTTTGGTTTTCTTACTTATGACTGAAGCACAATTTCAGAGAAATATGTTTTTGTACATAAACATATCTATCTGTATATATATTATGTATATATAAATACATAATGTGTGTGTGTGTATAAATACATGAACAGTGCAAGCACAAAAACTGTAATGAACCACTACAACACATGTCCATGTTTAAAGGTACAGCTGTTACTTTATTTGAGATCATTGTTTGTCTTGTAGGACTGGAAATACAGAATCATCAGATCTGAGGATTTACCTTTTTTCTAAGCTGGAATTTTTGTTTTATGTAAAATCTCACAATTTTAAATAGCTAACTTTGTTTTTAAAATACTGCAGAGGAAAAACATGTCTGCGTAATGGCTCCCAGCTGAAGGCTGATGGTCTGTGTCATCGCTGGAAAAGCTTCCTTGAACATTCCAGCTCTAAAATAATTAAACACTTGTGGTTATTCCCACAAAAACTGCTGTCACCCACACAACAACTATTAAAGCAGAGGTCTCCATAATTATATTCTAAATAGCATTGTAGAACCTAGGACAGAGGAATTAAATGGAGACTTTTCCCATCTCTAATTCCACAGGCCTCATTCTCTTCCATGGTCCTATGAGGCTGCCACAATAATGGTGGCTGTAGTACATTTCAACAGGGATTCAGATGGGCCCTTAGCTAAAAGTTTACATTTTCTTTAAGCCCACACTGATTGTCTTAGGGATCAGTTACTAAACCTCTCTAAATGGATGCTGCAAGAAGCACTTTAGGTAAGAATGTTTCATTTGACTGGATGCTACTTTAAAACGCTAACTTACCAAATATGTATTCAGCTATCAAATAGTTTGTCTGTTGCCCTCAAGAAGTCTCCAATGGACCAGCAAGGCAGTGACATATTTAAAATTAAACAAAGAAACAAATAAATAAATAAAATAGCAATTCTGGAAAGATGGCAAGAAACATCACACGGCAGTAAAGACTGATGGCCCAAGGAGGCCCCATAAATAACTAATAAGAGTTTGAAGGTGGAAGGACTCACCACAGGCTACTAGAAGGGCAGCACAAAATTCAAGGAGGTATTCCCACATTTGCAAAAACAGATGGAAGAGTGCCAAAAAATGTAAAACAACAAACATTACTTGTTTCCTTATTACTCTATTAAATAATCGGAGAATACAAACAATGAAATAATTATTTAAAATATTTCTAACAAGTTCACATTGTTAGAATTCAAGATAATACATGTTAAATAAGTCAAAGTCATAGCAGTTGGTCTTAGAAGCTACTTAGAAGACATTTTTAAATAAGAATTTACTTGTGTTCTACATTTTATTAGTAACTTTTATTAAAATAATAAAAATAAACCATAAGACACAACTCATCTCAGGATCTGGAAATCCTGTTATGAAAACAAAAGGGAGTAAAGAAAGTGGCTGTCACAGTTTTATTTGTAAAATTCCACAAAGAATATTTTTAATTTTAAAACAGAATGTCAACAGGGTTGATTGAAATAAAGAAAAAGAAATTAATGCTAAATAATTACTAAGGAAGTTTTATTTATGTAAATGAATAATTCAGTGTTTTACAAAGTAAATTCAAGCAGCAGCTGCTTTGCTGACATTTAAGCTTAAAAGAGCTTCCTCAAAAATGTACAAACTTTAAAACTAAAGAATCATCATATTTTTTTAATGTCAAACAGGAAGTTATTTCCTAAGTCATCTGGTTTTAGTATAAAATATTACATGGTTACAATGGTGATCAACCAACCATTTAAGGAGTCTCAGCATTACATTTTTCATAGGAAGTATCTGTCACATTCTAGTTTACTGAATATATGCATAATTCCTGGCCTGTTTAGTCTTACAACAGCTGGGGGCAGAGAGTAATTCAGATTTCTAACAATCTGTTCATATGTATGTGTACTCAGGGTTGTATTTTAAACTGTATTTCTTACTATGTTCCAGGTGAAAAGAAATGGAAAGTAACTGGTTTAGGGCATGAAAATTCTTATTCTATACAATAGGAGAAAAAGATCTCAAATAATACAGTTGACCCTTGAACAACACGGGTTTGAGTTGCACAGGTCCACTTACACGTGGGCTTTTTTTCCCTCCAATAAATATCATTCCTTATCTGGGGGTTCCATACCCACAGTCAAACACAGACCAAAAATACAGTATTAATGGGATTTAGGTTTTGGTTTCCTGGGGAGGGACAGGCATCCTGTAACTAATCCCCTGTGGATAATGAGGGACAACTGTATATTCTTAATCCATTCTTTTGTTAAATATTTACTGAACATGTCTATGTACCAAGCCTGTTTTAGGTTCTAGGGACACAAGAGTAAAACAAACCAGGATCCCTTATTCTAAAAGGAGTATTGTGCAGTATGTTACAATGTGGTAAGAGTTACAGAAAAAGAGAGAGAAGTTCAGGGGTGTGGGAGGTTATAGGAGGAAGGACCTAGTAGGTTACATTTTCAGTAGGGTCATCCAGGTAGGCCCCTCTAAGGAGATTTTTGGGGGAAAACTTAAAGGAAGTAAATAAATCAGTAACATAATTTTTATAGCCAGTGATGTGATACAGATACTGAAGTTTCTAATTCTATACAAGACATATTTTTTAAACATTTTCAAGGAAAATGGGCATGAAGAAAAAAATAACTGTGGATAAGAACAAATTTTCATATGAATTCCTAAACACAATATGGATAAGGTAGTCTAGTCTAAAGAGAAGGCACAGCTACTAACGCCAATGTAGAAGTACCTAAGTTACTCTTGTGGGAATCAGATAGGGCTTAATTTCACAATGTCACTAAAATGAAAGTAAAGGCTAAGGAGACAAAAGACATACATTAAAAAATGGCTTAAACACTTAAGAGTAAAAATGAGCTCACGTTAAAATGAATCTGTTAGAAAAACATTATTCACTAAGGGTATTTCTGGGGTAGCACAGGGTGAACACCACATTCTTTGCTCCTTCAAGTCTACAGATTGTTTTGTTTTGTTTTCATAAAGTAATAATAATAATAATCAGCACCGTAAACTAAGCATCTATGTAACTTCTCCATGGGTAACAAAGAAAGAAGGGTTCAGTTACTACCCAAAGCCTGAGTTCTAATATAACCAGCTCTCTGAGTAATACGCAACACGAATCCTGTCTGATGTTTTGGACAAATCTAGAAGTAACCACATTAGCATGCACTAAGAACCTAAGTCCTCTATTTTACCTAACTCAATGAACACAAACAGATTTCCTAAACTGAAAATGGGAAAAATAATTAAAGAACCACAAGTTAAAAAAGATTTTTTTAATTCATAAAAATGACTGAAATACAACAAATTTAGGATTTCTGGTATTATTACTTTATGTTGACTTTAACTTCCCTATATCAGTTTCCATTAGCTTTTTAACTCACAACTAAAGCATTTTATTTTTATTTATGTAATACAAACAGATTAATAAACTTCTGGTACTCACTAATAAGTTCCTCCTCTTACTTAGTTTGTGAAATCCTATGGAAAATTCTCCCAAATCCATCTAACATCTGCAATGTTTCACAAAAATTTATTTGTCCTGTATTGTAAAAGAGAAATATTTATTTCACATGACAAAAAGGAAATACTACCCCCAAATTTTGCTACTTAACAATTACACAATGTGCAACTTTAGAAGCCAATTCTGTAAGAAAATAAAGCAATTATAAAAATTTTTTCCACATTAAGGGGGGTAAATTTTGTATACATAACCACTGAATAAAGTTCTCCTGACTGCAATTCATTTATATAACTTTTTTGACAGAGCTCACTCACATAACTGCTCCACAGTTATGTACCATTAATAGGCATACTGAAGTTATGGTAGAGCAGATGATCCTGTTACAGCACTTTCTATATAACCAGACATTAATATTTTAAAGGCCATTTTACAAAAATCATTGCCTAATATTTATTCTAACCAATTAAAATGAGTTTTCAAAAATAGCAATTATTCTCTTCTTTTATTTGAAATCCATTTAGTTCAAATTTAATCTTACGTGTAAAATATAAAAGGTCTTAGGAAGAAAATTAACAAAGATTTTACAGAACTAAAAAGGTTTTCAAGTTAAAAAAAGAATACTTGTAGCCAGGCACAGTAGCTCACACATTTAATCCCAGCATTTTGGGAGGCTGAGGCAGTTGGATCGCTTGAGCTCAGGAGTTTGAGACCAGCCTGGCCAACATGGTGAAACTCGGTCTCTACTAAAAATACAAAAATTAGCCAGGCATGGTGGTGGGTATCCGTAATCCCAGCTACTTAGAGGCTGAGGCAGAAGAATCACTTGAACCCAGGAGGCAGAGGCTGCAGTGAGCTGAGACCACACCACTGTACTCCAGGATGGGTGACAGAGAGAGATTCCATCTCAAAAAAAGAAAGACTACTTTTAAAAGATGTCTGTTTTGTTTTAAAATCTAGAACCTAAGCCTCAAAAGCAAATTTTCGTTAAAGATTAATATCTTCTTGATATCTTACAATCATCTACCTCAAACTTAATGTGTCCAGGTTCACTGTTTCTTACAAATCATTTGAAATCAAACTCCTGGCATCACCATGTTTCTCTTCAGTGGTCTTCTCTTCAGTTACCAAGTTCTGCCAAAGCTCCCTTTGATGCTTCCCGTTCTCACTGTCACCCCCCCGGGCCCCCGAAAAAAAAAAAAAAAAAAATTGTCCCTCTATTTGTAGGTTAATCAAATGGAAAGCATCCCTTTTTTCTAATATCAACTCCTCCATCCAGCTTGAGCCCATATACAGAACAACCACGGTTTTTTATCTCTCATGTCACCCAGGCAGACCCGGGGAAGAAAACAGAACTATATGAAATTAAAAGGATGCAAAGTAATAGAACTACTGCACTTACCTACCCACAAAATTATTATTTAGAGATGTGTAGAAAATCACTAAAGGCATGATTAGCATATATAGATATAAGAGAGAACTGATTGGAGATTCAAAATACTCTCAATAGTATGGCCAACCAGGGCAAAAAGTGTTTAAAGGTAAAATTTACTTGGATACATGCGAATTCCTACATTTAGGTTAAAAATACTTCCAAGTTTTAGAATAGAATGACATTTTATAAATTCAATGTGAATCAACAACTTGATGAAGTACGACAGAACAACTAAACCAATCTTAATTATCAGTGCTGCAATCACAACTGCACAGTACTCACAGCACATCTATGTTCATTTCTGCAGACCATATTTTTAGATAAATCTTGATAAATAAGTACGTTCCTATGGAAAGGCAATAAAGAGATTAAGAAGTCTTTTTAAAAATCATAATGTTCACAAACACCATATTATATACTAACCACATCTTAGAAATCTACCTAGGGCATCTACGGGAAAACAGAAAATATTTAAATTTAGCCAGAAAAGAAAACTCAAGAAAGGGAATGAGACTGTTATCACTAAAGTAAGCTGAAGTAAAAATCTAGGTGACCTTAAATATAAGAGCTTAGGCTTGATCCTATAAGCAGTGGGGAATGACATAAACTAAACTGATCAGTTCAAAAAGCTTTACCTAGCAACAACATTTAGGATAAGGGTAAAATCAGGGAAGAAGGAGAAAAAGAAATTTTCTAGATAGAAAAAAAACTAGTCTTCATGCTAATAAAACAACTGAAAAGATATTGAAGGCAGTTTTGGGTAAAACTGCAAGATATTGTAAGCTCTTAAACTCTTCCTCAATATTCTATGAGATAAACAAGAGTTTTAAAAAGACAAAAATTGGCTAGCTGCCACTATGCCATAAAAGGGGGATAGTATCATACTACAAATTTCGAAACGTAGGAAAAAAGGAAAGATTTTGGCAAGGCTCAGCATGCCATGAATCCTAACCCCTAGAATGCACTGGGGAAAGAAAATGAGTTCAAATATCTTGCAAATTTCCACTAAAAAACACTCCTCGTTTTTGAGAGAAGTAGACTAAGGGCATAAATAGCCCAGAGAAAAATAAAACAAAACAAAAGAAAAACATTTAGTATAAAAAAACCTCTACCCACCTTCAAAGGATTTCAGCAGGGGCTAGAAAAACCACCAGGGTATGCCATTTTTCAGGGATCCACACTTAATAGAGAAGATAACCCAAAGGTAACCCCAGAGAAAAGAGGAAACATTCCTGAAGGCTACCTAACAAAAACAGTGCATTGGCCATGTGCTCCCTCTCCCCCTCCCTCAGGCTTCAGGAAAGTACATAAAAGAACACCCCAGCCTTCACAATATAGCCCACAGGAGAAAACAAACATCAGAAAAAGGTGGCAGAAGTGTTAAAGAGCATTCACCCACAATTTTTCAGAGAAACAGCAAGGCAACTCTGCAAACATGCCTAAGGAAAAGAAGATTCATCTCAAATGTCACACTCTATTAGAACTTAATAAAAACATAAATTCAAGAAAACTAGACTTCAAGGAATAGTTGATAAAACAGAGTGAGATGATAGAAGAGATAAACTGAAGACCAAAACAAATCCATAACAGTGCTAATAAATATATCAGAAACATAAAACGAATAGCATAGACACAGCTAAAATTCAAATGAAAAATTCTATTTAAATTACTCAAGATAATCACAGTAAGTATCACGGGGGAAAAAAGGTTAATACAAACACAGAGAAAACCAAGGCATAGGTAGGCAACTATTGTGGAAGACGGCTTCCAAGATGGCCTCCAATGATCCCAGCTTCCTATTGTTCATGTCCTTCATGTCCATGTCACCCCTCCTATTAAGTAGGCTAAACCTAGTATCTGCTTCTAACCAAGAATATGGTAATGCAGATAGGATGTCACTCCCTATGACTGAGTTACAAAAAGCTGTGGCATGTCTTACCAGATGTTCTCTCTTGTCTTCTTGGCTTGCATGTTTTGATGAAGTAAACTGCCATGTGGAAAGGGCTCATGTGGGAAGGAAGCAAGGCTATCAACCCAACATTCTACAGGAGACTGAATGCTGCCAACCATGAGTGAGCTTCAAAGCAGATCCTTCCCCAGTCAAGGTTTTGGATGAGACCACAGACCCTCCTTAGCCAACACATTAATTGCAGCCTTGTGAGAAACTGAAGCAGAGGACCCAGTTGTCATACCTAGATACATGCCTCGCAGAAACTATCAGATTGATAAATATGTGCTCTTTTAAGCCACTACATTTTGGAATAATTAGTTATGCAGTAAATAACATCAAATGTTAATTTTTGTTTTAAAGTTCCAAGGATGATTGGTTATCTCTGAGGAAAAAAATTCCCCCCAAAAAAGGAAACAAAAAACATTTTAAATTACAATTTAGGAAAAGTTTTCTGATGGAAAAAAAAAAAAAAAAAGTACAAACCAAAAGGGCACAGTATGTTCCAGAAAGAACTGATACAAGATATATCCCAATTAAGCTTTCAAACTCAAGGATACAGAAAGAATTCTTCCAGGATCCAACCAGAAAAATCACGTCATCTATGGTAGGATGATTGCAAGGTGGGGTGGGGATGAAAATCAGGCTGCTCTCAGACTTCCCAGAGCAACATTTAATGTCATAAAATACTGATGTAATGTGTATCTACAAAGTTCTGAGGTACAGAAAATATGACCTGACAATATTATATCCACTCTACATGTCACAAATGTATAAGGCAACAAGCAGTCATTCCCAACCATGAACGATATCAAGGATTCTAGAACCCAAAGACTCTTCTTAAATTAACTATTGGCAATAAAATCAAGCAACGGATCAAAAAAAAATTTTAAAGACAAAATGTGATGAGCACTGGATTTATAATTACAGAAAAGAATATAAGTATTATAAGTTATGACAATGTAAAATTACAACTTACGGAAACTGGGACCTGAAAGAGAAAAGGTGGGGGAAGTATAATTGTACTTTCACACACAGGAATCACTCAATATTGTTCAAAATTAGAATATAGAGTTAAAACATAATTACTGAACCTTGTCAGTGGGTTTCATAATATGTTTTCTTATGATGGAGGCAAGTAACCTTTTATCAAGAAACATTTACATAAACTTTAGCAAATCTTTTGTTTTCTAAATTCCACTAAAAAAATAGTGTATATAATATAATCCCTTTGTATTATCCTTTTGTTCCCAGAGAGATGTTTGTATTTGTGAATGGTAGAATTTAGAGTAATTTTTGGAAGGCATTTCATATTTTCTGTATTACTTATATGAATTGAATAAAAGCATGATGTTATTTTCCCCCACAACAATAAAATGCAGGAAGGAAGGAAATACTGAATGCCTGAACTAGAGTAGATGTATTGAAAATGAAGTCTCACATATTGTTAGAAAGATTCCTGCATTGGTAGTTGTTAACCTCACAGGCTTCATCTAACGTTTCTGAGATCACAGACCTTCTCCCTAAATAAAGATCGTTGCAGCATAAAAATCCCTGTTTTCTATTATATGAATTCTAAAATTCTTTGCCTGGCTTTCAAGGAGCACCAAAATATGACCCTAAACAGCAACTAAATTGTTTTATATAATTAAACTAATCTTCTCATTGTCCCACAAATATCTCATGTTATACTTGGCTTTTATATCTTACTACCTACTTGGAATATCTTCTAAATAAATAATTTAGGTGTTTCCATTTCACAGACTATTCCTTCCCCAGTACTTAGTAAGATAAACAAAATGAATTTTAAAAAGAAACCATCTAAATGTTGTCTAACTAAAGTTTATTTTCTACACAAAATTCTTCCTTAAGTCTTAAAATTTAACTAAAATATTCTTTCAGAATTTTTAGAGTACTCAGAGACTTTTCTATATTGAAACATAACTCTAATACTGCTTTGCAGACTGTATTAGCCTTAATTCAAAAACTTTAAAAAAACTCAAAGATATAAAAATTTTAAAAATATATTAAGAAACTCATCAAAAAATTAAAAAGGAAATAAAAGAATGATACAAATAGACCTGACTGGAAATATGTTCTTATACCTCTGAGATGGTCTTCCCAACTAAACATTTCATATTATATATTTTTACAAGATAAGATTATGTATTTGTATAAAATGCTACAGTTTACAAAGTGTTTTAATAATCACTTTTTCATTTACTTCCAAAAACAATCTTACAATCATAATTATCCACAAAGGGACTGTGAGTATACTTTAAAACAAGAAACTATAAAAATAAAAATTATAAAAAATATTAGTCAGTATGAAACAATTTATCAAACTTTATAAATTTATCACGTAAATATATTCATCATAATCCTCTTTAACAACACAAAGCTACATTTGCAAGTAAGCAGCTAAAGCTTTCTTTCTTGTTTTTCCTCTCAACCACGATTTAAATGTTTGTATTCCTTATTTTAATATTCCAACACACAGTCAAAATGTGGCAGTTGCAGTTGTACATTTACCTTCAATAGTAACTATAAAACCTAAAATCATTTTTAACTGGGTCCTTCAGTAAGAGCCAAAATTTCCTAAAGAAACATTTAACACTTAATGTTACATTTATGGTAATGAGAAAGAGCAAGGTTAAGTCAATGTAAAAATGAATAAGCTTTAATGATATTCTTAACAGGATCTCCAGATACTTCTACCACAAGATGGAGATAAAGTAGATGTATTTACATATGTCAAAAATATATAATTTTATTAAATTATTGATATCACTTGGCTCACAATCAGAAATATATGCTAACTTTATGATAAAGGTAAACTCACTTCACATGTGGTCACTTTTAAATATTTCCAAAATATTCTTTTAATAAAATATAGACATATAACATTTTCATGTTTCATTTGACACAGGAAACTGCCAGCATTAAGGTATTTTTAAAAACACATGGAAGAAGATTCATATATCAATACCAGACCTGTTCAATAAATTTTTTTGTAATGATAGAAATGATTGATGTCTACATTGTCGAATGTGGTATCCACAAGCCACATGCAGCTACTGAGCATTTGAAATGTGGCTAGTACCACTATGAGACTCAATTTTAAATTTTATACAATTTTAATTAATTTAAAATTAAATAGCCAATGTGACTACTGGCTAATATACTGGACAGCACAGAGCTATATTATAGCCAATTTAATATTTTAATAGATATCAAAATCTAATCATGGTTTTCAGAGTGTAAAATAACACATAAAAACCGATCTTTAAAAATAAAATTACTATAAATCAATGATAAAAACGAAAGATTCTGACCATTAATAATGGAGATTTTTCCAAAATCATCAGGAAAAAAAATAGAAAAGCTCAATATAACTATAACAGTAAAAATAAAAACCAATATATATTAAAAAGAGTAAAGTTTACAGCATCCTTCAAAGGGAATAAAAGAGCATATATTAAAACACACAAATCTTTTTAAAGTATACCAATAACCACGTAAATTTCCAAATTTAGTATAGAAATGGGTTTAAATATTTAAAAAATGTAAATATCTGCAATTACAATAAACCTATTTACTGTTTACACAAGTCAAAGTTAACATTTTCAATAATAGGAAAAAAAATTTGTTCCCCCTTACCAAAACAGTAGGAGTCTAACTCTGCAATTACAAAGTAGAGCACTTTGCACCAGAGAAACATTCCAACATAAATTATGTGGACCTCAATCAATGCAAAGTTGGGCATCAATTAAACTAGACAGCCAGTAGCCATTCTGTTTCAAACTGAGAGAAATAGTCTTACTAATCCAGACAAAGATGCCAATCAAAGGTGCTGAAACCAAAAGGAAAAGTTTCATGATGATCACATCTCAAAAAACGTAAGAGGATTCAAGAAGAAGCCACTTCACTGGAGTCTGTTCTTGGATTTGGGCAGAATAAGGGAGGAAGCTGATTTAAAAGTGCTATAGAGGTGACACTGAGAAGACAAAAGAGTGTTAGAAAGAATCTGAGAATTGGTCACCAAATAATACCTAAAAATGTGTTGATGGCTGGATTATTCCAGCACAAAAGCCCTGACTTTAAAATTACACAAACAAAAAGGATATTTCATTAAACTGTATATTACAAAAATGGGATCTATTCTCTTTTGCAATAAATAATCAAAACCAGCTTTTTAATGACCAGTTAGGTTCTAACAGAAAATGAAAAATAGGATCCCACATTCAGCAGATCTACCCTTCCCCCAAGATCTCAGTAAATTATTTCTACATGTGCTGTGTTAAAACTGAACCCCTAGAGGGCAACTGAGCTTCAATCTTTACTTCATAATACATACTTCAGTTCCTCAGCAGTTTATAGATACCATGACCTACTTCCTTGTATCTTGGAATTTTTCCTTTAATACAAAAAGGAAATGGAAAGAAGAAAATTGATATATCCCATTCACTAATGCAAAATATCATTATGTAATACATTCTTTAACAGCAATCATTCAATGATGAAGACTATGGTACAAATAGGTATATTCCTGAATAACAGACATCATAAATGAATATCTGAATATTAACACTCCCAGTAGGAATCATGTAGCAGATAGGAAAGACATACTTAACAAGTCTATTTAATATAAACGTTTTGCATAACTTTACTTTCACTAAATGACATGTTAAAATGTATAGGGAAAAAAGTGAAGAATCCAATTTCTATAACAATTACTCCATATAAACTACCCAGTATAAAACACCACAGGAAAAACAATGTTTCTTCAAAGTTAAAATGTCAAGAGGTTCCTTACTGCCCAAATAAGTTAACTCTATTTCATGAGGAAGAAGGATCGATATTCAAACAGGCCCACACAAAATACTGACATAGCAAAAAAAGTTATTCTATCAATATAAAAATGTACTAGCTAGCAAGGCCAACAATGATATCTTAGATTTAGTCTTTTTTTAATGAAGCTCAAAAATTGGACATATACAAGTATAAAATGTATATACCAAAAAAGGTAGCATAAAAGAAAATGCTGCCGGGGCGTGGTGGCTCATGCCTGTAATCCCAGCACTTTGGGAGGCCGAGGTGGGCCGGATACAAGGTCAGGAGATCGAGACCATTCTGGTTAACACGTTTGAACCTCCATCTCTACTGAAAAATACAAAAAAATTAGCCAGGCATGGTGGCGGGCGCCTGTAGTCCCAGCTACTCAGAAGGCTGAGGCAGGAGAAATGGCGGGAACCTGCGAGGCAGAGCTTGCAGGTGAGCGGAGATCGCACTAAAGCACTCCCAGCCTGGAATGAGAGAGCCGAGACTCTCCGTCTCAAAAAAAAAAAAAAAAAAAGAAAATGCTAAGAATTTACCTGGACAATATACAGAATAATAATTACTAATTGATAACTTG